AATAACAATGATCTGTCTTTTCAAAAAAAAAAAAATTTTATGTAAGACCTAGACAATGAAAGTAAAAAGCATTGCTGAGAGAAATTAAATAAAACATTAATAAGTGGCAAAATATACTGTAAAAAAATAAAGTTTAAGTATTAAAGAAAGGTAATATAAACAAACCTGCTGGAACTGAAAGCAGGGTCACAGACTACAAACTCAATATTTTAAAAATTTATTGTATTTCTATATAGCCACAAGAAATTGGAAAATATAAGTTTTAAAAACTCCATTTACAGTAATACCAAAAAACACATAAAATAGTTAAGAATACATTTAACAAAAGATATGAGAGACCCCTACATTGAAAACTATAAATTACAACTGAGAAAATTTAAAGGAGCTCTGAATAAAAGTAGAGACATATCTTGTTCATATATAGAAAAAAACAATATCGCTAAGATGCCAATTCTTGCCAAATTGATCTATAGATTCAACTCAGTCCAAATAAAAATCTGAACAGTTTCTTTCATCTAAAAATTAACAAATCAATTTTAAAATTTATATGGAAATTCAAAGTACCTAGAATGCCCAAAATTATTATAAAGAATCCAAAGTCAAAGGACTCACATTATCTGATTTCAAAGCTCACAACACAGCTACAGTAACCAGGATAGAAAGGTACAGGAGAAATGATACAAAAATAGATCAATGGAACAGACTGGAGAATCTAAATACTTACCCGTAAGTGGTCATTTGATTTTTGACAAAGGTGTAAGGCAATTCAATTAAGAAAAGACAGTCTTTCAACAAATGGTGCTAGAACAACTGGATAAACACATGGAGAAAAAATGAACTTTGACCATTACTCCATACCGAGCACAAACATCAATTTGAGATGAATCATAGACTTAAATACAAAAACAGAAACTAAAAAGCTTGTAGAAAAAAATATAGGATAATATCTTGATAATTTGAGGTAGGCAAAGATTTCTTAAGAGGGCCACAGAAAGCAATAACCTTAAAATAAAAATATTTATAATTGGCCCCCATCAAAGTTAAAAACTCCAGTTCATCTAAAAGTACCATTAAGAAAATTAAAAGGCAAGCCAAAGGGGCCGGCCTAGTGGCGTAGTAGTTAAGGTCAGCATGCTCTACTTTGGCAGCCCAGGTTCGTGAGTTTGGATCCTGGACACAGACCTACACCACTCATCAAGCCATGCTATGATGGTGACCCACATACAAAACAGAGGAAGATGGGCACAGATGTTAGCTCAAGGCCACTCTTCCTCAAGCAAAAAGAGGAAAATTGGCAACAAGTGTTAGCTCACGGCCCATCTTCCTCACCAAAAAAAAAAAGGCAAGCCACATACTAGAAGAAAATATCTACAATATACACACTTGTCAAAGCACTTGTATACAGAATACATAATGAATTCTTACAACTCAATTCTAAGAAAGAAAATGACACAGTTTTTCTTAAGGAAAAAAATACTTGAAACAAACACTTCACAAAAGAAGATAAATAAATGGTGAATAAGAACATGAAAAGGTGCTCAACATCATTAGACATTAGGGAAATGCAAACTAAAACTACAATGAGATGTGACTTCACGCCCACTACAATCGTTAAAATTTTAAAAACTGCTGGAATGTAAAACGGTACAACCACTTTGCAAAACTATTGGCAATTCCTTATAAATTACTATATACACCTACACTCCTACTCTATGACTCTACAACTCTCCTCCCAGGAATTGAAATGAAAAATAAATTAAACATATGTTCACAAAAAGGCTTGTAAAAGAATGTTTATAATAGCTTAATTCATAATAGCCCCAGATGGGAAATATCCCAGATGTCCATAAACAGGAGAAAATAATCTGTGGCATATTCACACAATGAAATGCTACTGAGGATAAAAAAAAAACAATAAACTACTGAAAAATGCAACAATAAGGAGAATCTCAAAAAGAAAATTATTCTGAGCAAAAAAAGACAGATACAAAAGAGTACATACTGTATGATTCCATGATTTAGTTCTAGAGCAAGTAAAACCAATTTGTAGAGATAGAAATCAGAATAGCGGTTGCCTATAAGGGGTAAGAATCCACTGGAAGGCTGCATGAGGAAATTTGTGGATTGAAGGAAATGTTCAATGCCTTACTGGTGTGTGTGCAATTGTCAAAACTCATTGAAACGAACACACAATTTTTATGTAATTTTTATTCAGCAGAGAGAAAAGGCCATTAGATTTAGTTTCCTAAAGGCATGAATAGCCTTTGAAAATGATATTCAGTAGAATGGAGAGGGAAAAAGAGACTTTTGAGGGGTTAAGTAGGAAACAAAAGCAATAGATGGAGAGCCCTCTAGAGAAGTCTGGTTATGAAGGAAAGGAGAGAGAATGAGGGAGCAGGAGAGAAAAGGCAAGAAGTAGGCTTAGCCTTGAGGTCTACCCAAGGCAAGATAAAGAGGCTGAAAAGAACGGAACTACGGGAACCCAAATTTCTCAGTAAAATAGGGAGCAAAGGCATTTGCAGAGAGTATACAGGGTCAAGGCAGGCAGGACAAGCCAGTGTGGAAAGAGGACAAACGTGTGGAGTTCCTGTAGAGAAAGGGACAGAGAATTTTCTTCATTAATCACTGTTATAATCATTAACTGATTCCTCACTGAATTACTATTGTGGGAGTTGCCTTTTCATTCTTCTGTTATTTGAAAGCACTAAACTGAGCTTAGAGGCTCTTGTAAACGTGTCCATTATTCATCGGGTTGAGTCAAGAGCACAGCTACAAGGATTTTCAACTTCATCTACTCAAAATTCTTCCTTTACAGAGGAGAAAGCTAAGGTCCAGGGAATTTAAATTACTTGCCCAAGGTCACAAAGCTAGTTGCGCAAAGATATGACCCGAACCTCGTTCGCCAGATCTTCCAAGGTGTCCTCTTTTCATTAGAGCATCAGTACATAAATCAACTGATAACGCTGAATAAGTAAAAAACAAGCAGACTATTGGCATTGGCATTGCTATAAATATTCCTCTTCTTCAGAAATTAGATCACATCAAAAATTCTTCTAGTTGCTCTGACTTAAAACATTACTTTCTCTGTAAAAATCTACCTTGGAAACATAACACATTGGCTAGAGGTGAATTGGCATCAACTGTGGGTGCTGCAGAAAGCCCTTTGATGAGGACTGTTCACGGTTTTGTATCCTCCTTTAAAATCTGGATGCTCTTATCTTGTAATACATCTGTTTCTACTCAACAGGCAATAAGAGAGTCTCCAAAGGATACCTCAGCAGGGTTCTCTCTCCATCTGTGGGACCAAAAGCCCAAGAAGGTGTTTTGCCTGCAGGACAAGGCCCTCAGCTGGCTCCAGAAAGGCTCAGTAACGGCAGCCCATCTGTGCAGCTGCGCAGGATAAGGAGAAGCAGCATTTTGTTGTTGTTAATGATAATAAAATTAGGAGTTTTTTTAAATGAAAATGACATCTCGGTTTTAAATCCGTTGCTTTTATATCACCTTTTCCATCAAGTTGAAAATGGTTTACAATACTCATATAAAATAAAATTTAATGTCCCCAGTTCTGCAACAGAGCAAGCTCTAAGAACCCCAGAGTTGGGAAATCAATAGCACAATCAACTTTAGAGCTTTGTTTCAACTCCCACTTCTACACTTAGATACCAAGTCATGCTGTTTCTCATTTCTCTCAAGTGTTGAAGGAACCATCTGCTTAAAATCAGCGGCTTGCCTCAGTCCTTCAGACGCCCCCTTGCTGTGCATAAATGCCACCAGGCCTTGAGGCCAGGCATCACGTGTCCAGACGACCAGGGTCTGGAAAACAGAGGGCGGTGGGGGGATGGGGAGTGTTTAACCAAGTCTCAGTATAAACAAAATTACCTGCTGATTTCTGGAGGAATCCACGTAAGCTGATTGTTGTTCAGATTAAGCAGGATCAAATTTTGTAAGCCATCTGTTAGAAAATAATTTTAGTCACTTTAGGTATCTGTTAGAAAATAATTTTTAGCCACTTTTCTATACACCTTTGTTTTCCTTCTGGTTTCTTGCCTTGGCCAAGGCTTTCTGAGTTGCTGGTACAACCTAGCAACACCAGTTTAAGATATCTTCTTAAACTAGCTTCAGCAAAAAGAGGGAATTTATCACAAAGTTACAAAGCTAAGTCAAGGCGCCCAAGGACAGAGGGTACAGCCAGGCTCACCACCAAGTAGATCCCAAGATTTTTTTTTTAACTCAGAACGTCAGACCCATAAATGTTTGCTGAGCAAATAAACGAAGTCCAAACGTTCTTCTTTACAAGCGGCACTCATCGGTCCAACAGAAGGCCGCGGCCGGCCTGCCGGGTCAGCGGAGCCCACACGCGTCGCCTCCAGACTCCCGCCAAGCGCCCCGCACGTGCGCGCACCCGCGCGGCACACGCGCCCGTCCTGCCGGCCTGGGGTGGGGAGCACGCCTCTCCTTCACGTGTTCTGGGTCCCCGGGCCCCCGCCGCTGCACAGCCCGTCGGGGAGATGGCCGTCGCCATGGCCTCTTTGGGGCCGCGCAGCTTGAACTTTCTGGCGAAGAGGACGAAGCGGACGCAGAGTGCGTCCAGGTGCCCGTGCAGCTCCAGGGCCGGAGTCTCCTTCAAGAGGGACGAGTAGCCGTGCCGCAGCACGGGGAACAGGGACTTGCGGATCTTCACCAGAGACTCCAAGGAGCTGGGGAAGCCTCGGCAGTGCTTCTAGGGATCCGGTCCTCGGTGGTCACCAGCTTCTGCACCAAGCTCAAGACCAAGTCGACGTACTGGGGCTCTGCGCGCTTGCCCTTCTGCCCCCGCTCGGCGTACCAGTTGTCGTGTGTCCCACGCGGCCATCGTGGGGCATGCCTCTCCTGGGCAGGATTCTGAGGTGGTGCTGTACTGCAGGTGGACATGGTGGGAAAACGTCGCGGGGTGGCTCGCCAGCCGCTCCGTGAGGTCCATCTCCCCGGGCAGCACCACCAGCTCCTTGAACTGGAAGTCGGCGATTGGTGACCTCCAGCTCTGGGCATGTTTTCTTTGCCGCCGCAGGCTTCTCCGGTGGGGCGTCGCTCTGGACTTGCGCATGAGCCAGTCCATGGGTGCGCGCGGCCGCCCAACACGCACGGCCCGCAGCCGGCGCAGTCAGAAGTTATATACACACACATATAATAGATACATAATATTATGTAATTATAGGCTCATATGTATATGTATGGGCCATTTATATATGTGTGTGTGTATGTATATATATATGCATACACACACAGCCCTTTGGCTGCTCTTGGTAGTTACAGAAAGCTCATGCTTGCATCTCCTGGACTTCTGATGCTTATTCTGAACCACTGAACCAGGTTGTCATGTCCAAGGAGACCCACACCATGCTCCAGGCTAATAGTCTGTCTCCCCCAGAGCTTCTCCAAGTCTGGTAGATTATACTCTCTCAGTATCTCTGCAGAACATAGAATTTCATTTCTCATTACAGCTTCTCTCACCTTCATATTGGTATTCTCCCTTTCCCCCTCTCCCCCCACTCCCCATTTCTTCTCTTTTGAATATATTATCTCTAATTTTCCACATATTCATAGCCATCCCACAACTCCTGCGTTTGAATGTTCACAGACAGGGGAGACAAGAGTTCTCAAACTGAAATGCCTGCAGGAACCAAGAAGATAACTCAGAACACAGCAGTGGGCCTGGCAGGAGTGTGCTGAACTGGAGAGCACTTAGCTTTATCTGACAGGGCAGCTGCCATTAAGCCAGCTCCTGACAATTGCTGTCACCTAGGAATGTGATTCCAGTGTTGCCTAATCTTTCTTTTGTAACATAAGTAAATAAAAGCCAGAGATCCAGACTTTTATATAAACTCTCTTGATCTGTAGATTTTTGCACTAAATTCAAATTTCTAAAAGGCCAGACAAAACAGAACCAACCTATTTGTGAGCCAGATTCAGCCCATGGGCCACCACTTTGCAACCTCTGTCTTAGTTCGTGTAATTAGCTCAGATCAATTGAACTGTTTTAGAGTCTACCATAATCCCCAAGAAAGAAAATATGACTGACTCAGCTTGGGACACATATCTAGCCCTTGTCCAGTCTGCTCTGGTCAGGGGGGCAGGGTCATGTAATACATGCTGTACGGTGCTCAACTCCCTGACACCAAACTATTGCTGTGCTTGGATAATAAGGAGCTGACATAGAATGTGATTTATGTCAATCACATGGGATTTTCCAAGTTCAACAGCCCAAAATCAAGAAATGCAGAAACTAAAGACATTCTTGGGCACTGTACACAGATTACGTATATTTTGTAAACTTCAAATTTAAGGGCAACACAAGAAAAAAATTGTTTCTTTATAGATATCTAAATTAGCATTAGGTTGCTTAATATCATTTATATACATCAGGTTTTACCCAAGTTTTTCCACTCAGTATAGTTAATAAAATAGTGTTGTCTATTTGTTTGCATGCCCTTAATTTTTTCTTATGTGTAAACTGTTTTCTTCCTAAGTAAAATATAATTGAACTCAGAATATGTGGCTTTGTATAAATAATGTTCATAAGCATCAATAAGTGTTTGTTACAGTTCTCGTTTTGAGGAAAAATATTTCTCCAAAATACATGATCTAAGATTTTAAAGAGATGGCACCAGAGTCTGTGTGCTATTTGCCAAATATATCCCTAATTTAGTGTCCCATGCAGTAATACCCTTAATAAATGCTGCTTGATGATGACAGTGATTATATATAGGACCTATGCCTCAAAAGTTCATAGAACCTTATAAATTCTATAGTATAGTTCTAGTTTTACTACTGGGAACAGACACATAAAGTGGTGAAGTGTGTTACGTGACTTAATGAAGCTATAAAAAGCATCTGGATGTCTGTCATGCATTCTGTCCTTAAGCCCACTCTACCTGTATTAAATAGGAAGAGGTTCATAGCGAATGGAGAAGTTATAGATTTAAAGGAAACACAAAGAAAAGAATGCCAATTATTGGATCTTGCATCTTTCCTTTAAAATTCTCCTCCAATTGATTTAAACTTAGCCATCTTGATCAAAGATTGTGACTTAGTCTCCAAGACAGAATAAAAAGTATAAAGAACAAGGAGAGCTGTGGAGAGCTTTTCTTGATCTGATCGTCAACTAGTTTTCTCTCTGGCATAGAGAAAGGGCCCCCATATTCAAGAGTCTAAACGTACAATGATACTGAAAAGGGGAAAACTCACTAACACTAATGCTTACTTATAGTCTTAGGTGTATGTGTGAAGATATATATAATACAATAGTTGAAAAAAAGGCTTGTCCCCAAAATTCCTTGATTTCAAGAGTAGTGTGTAAACATCTCCAACAAGAAAAGATTAAAACGTAAAATTCCTTTTCACTTTAGTTCCAAATTGTTAAATATAAGAGGATTAGCTTGATCCTATAATGTTGGTCTTCTTTGATTAACTTACCACACACACCAGCTGCAAATCTACGAATCCTATTTCCAAATAAATGGAGCTTCCTGAGGGATGTAAGGTATTTCATCTCTTCTGGAACTTCTTCTAAAAGATTGTTTCCCAGATTTAGTGAGGTCAACTGCAAACACATAGAGATTTAATGGACTCATACATTATCCATCTTCAAATAAGAAAAAAGAAATGATTAAGCCCCTTTGCTGAAACTGATGTAACCTAAGAAAACTTGAACATGATCTTTAACAATTATTTCACATATACCTAAAATGATCTTTATAAATAAAGTTCATTTGAGCTTCATGTTCAAGCACTTTATGTTAATTAAAGCACAATTTAATTTTCAATTAAAACACTTACCTTCATTAAAATTGTATTATAAACCATTCCAAGAGTATCTAAAAACACAATTAATGATCCATTCACAACTCACTTGAGCAACTCAAGATTATGGATCCACGGACTCAAAACCGTTAAAAATTCAGCAAAGGGGCTAATTTCCTGAAATCAGAAATATAGCCAAATATCTAAAGTCTTCCTATTATAGTACTGCCAAATGAGCTGCTTCATTTAGGCCAGTAAGACCTCTCCATTTACACGGATACAGCCAACGGGGTGCGCGTGGAGGGGCTTTACCATCATTCCGTATGATCACAAAGTTTGTAAGAGAAACTACTGACATGGTATGTTAGGACATCTGCCTTGCATGTACCTGTTATACTAATGACAAATTGGTTATATGTAGGAAGGACCACACATAAGAGGAATTAGAAAGATCCTCCTTGATCCAATAAATCAATGATACAGGATTATTCTCTAAAACATGGTATTTTTCTTTGATTTGAAATCAGTTGTATCTTCCAAGCTACAAAAATTGTGTTTTCTTTCACTCCCAAACATAATTTACCATTCAGATTTCATTTCCAAATTCATACTTCAGAATTTTAATATTAAAGGGTAAAGAAAGGTATCATAGGAGGTTTTACAAATTAATGAGTTTACATAAGACAAAAAAATTATAAAGAAGAAAATTTAGACAAGTTACATTTATGTTTAAATATCCCCTGGTATTTGGTATGGATGTATTTTAATGATTTAAATTAATATAAAATAGACATAAATATATTTACAAGGAAATTCCTTGTCCTAGAATTCATGAAAAAGGTTTTGCTTCCACACATACTTTCCTCTGAGAATTGCCCTTGTCCTATAAACAAAGGACAATACATCTACCATCTTGGAGACCTTATTCTTTTGTAAAGGTGAAGTTAAAATATATTCATGTAGTCATTCCAATGAAAAGACTTAATCTAGAGTCTGTGACTGTATTAGTTTCCTATTGCAGCTGTAACAAATTTCCACAACCTCAGTGGCTTAAAACAACAAAAATTTATTATCTTACAGTTCTGGAGAACGGATATCAGAAATGGGTCTCACTGACCTAAAATCAAGGTGTTGGCAGGACTATGTTCCTTTCTGGAGATTCTAGCCGAGAATCTGTTTCCTTGCCTTTTCCAGCTTCCAGAGGCTGCCCACATCCCTTAGCTTTTGGCCCCTCCTTTCATCTTCAAAGCCAGCAATGGCTGGTGGACTCTCAAATCACATCCCTCTGACACTCTTCTACATTTAAAGAACTTCATAACTACATTGGGCCCACCCAGATAATCCAGGATAATCGTCCCATCTCAAGGTCCACTGACTATCAACCTTAATTCCATCTGTACACTTGATTCCCCTTGACATGTAACCTATTTACAAATTATGGGATTAGGATGTGGGCATCTTTGAGGGACCGTTATTTGCCTACCACATGACTATTTTAAGTCTGTTTTCCAAAAAGGTGATAGATATCATTCTTTTGCCTAATTTTAGTAAAAAATTCATAGCAGTTGATCAGTGCTGAGACCCCAACAAAATCTCTGTGAATACTACTGAGGAATACACGAGCGTCAGGAATTGTGAAAGGTCTGAGATTTTACCCAACGTGCAAGCTGACAGTTAACCTGCCACCATTTCATAGATGCTGGTAGAAAGCATGAGACCCCGGGAAAGACACAAAGGATAGTTTATTACTCACAGCAACAGCAGTGCCCAAGATATGGCCATTTTTGCACTAGCAAAATGCAAAGTCAGATGATACCTGGATGTGAGAGAGTCGTGTTACAAAAGAGGAACCATGAGCTTAGAGAACCTGAATCTCCTGAACCTGTCTCCAGAGGGAGACACTACCTCTAATTTCCAAGGCTATCTGCTATATAAATATCCTTGAAAGTTAGTCCAGAACAAAGGCAGGCAGTACTCTGCTTACAAGACAGGCAAAAGCATGAGAGACTCATGGAGAACTGCCTCCAACAAAGAGATGGTAACACATAATTTTAAAGCAAATAAGTAACAAAGAACGGAGCTTGTGATTTCCCACACCCTCAATGCTTTCAAGGCATTTCTGAGTGCACACTGTATAATGCTCATTTAGCATGTTATTCTGTAAGTTCTCATGTATGAGTTATATTTTTGTCCTTGTGTTTTACAGAATCTAAGGGTATGGCCCAGCTATATGATGATAATACAGTAATTTGTTTTCATGGTATATCAAAGGGAAATCACAGGGTACAATCAAGCTTGACTATAAAGTGGGGATCTGTTGATTGATTGAAATATATCCACAAACAAATTGTAAAAAAATGCAGTCCAAACTGCCCATATAACCATCACTATGAGAAAGCAGGTGGGTCAACATTCATTTAAAAATATGCCTTGTCTGCCTACTATGAGCAATCAGTTCTAGGCACTGGACACACAGAGGTGAATAAGACATGTAAGATCTTTACCCTAAAAGCACCTACACAGTAACAGTGAGAGAGCAACAATAAAACGAATGAATGAATGGCTGAACAAATTAATAAGAAAAATAACAGACAGCATTAAGTGCTCTGTGGATAATTAAAAGAATGAGGAGATAGTCATTGGTTGATCAGGGAAGCTTGCCTTAGAAGTTGAAATTTAAACTGAGATGAGTGACAATAAGAAAGAGAAAACAGCCAAAATAAAGACCCCAAAGCAGGAACATTCCTAGTGTCATTGAGGAGCCAAGAGATGTGGCCGATATGGCTGAGCATAATGGGTAGAGGAAAACGCAGCACAAGTAAGGTTGGAAAAGTGTTCTTGGGCCAGACTATGTATGGTTTTGTAAACCAAGGTAAGGAGGGGGGTTTTACTCTAAGTGCAGTGAGAAATGAGTGCAGGGTTTTGAGCAGATGTGTAGCATTACTTGATTTGCATCTTAGGAGCACTCTGGCAGCTGTATAAAGAATAGTCTTCAGAGGAAGCAAGAGATGAAACACAGAGACAGTCCAAGTGAGAGGTGAGGATGGCTTGGGCTAGAATGGTGGTGTTAAAGGTGGAAAGACGTGGATGGATTTGAGATATGCTTTGCATATACAGGCAGAATGTTGTGAGATATAAGAGAAAGAGAAGAATCATGGATAGAATCAAGCTTTGGAACTTGAACACCTGAGATGGGGAAAACTGGGACAGGGCAGGTTTGGAGGAAAGACAAGGAATCAAGAGTTCAGTTTTATCCATGTTAAAATTAAGATGCCTTATATAAGGAGAGAGATAATTGCAGAATCAAAATCCTTCAGAAGATGACAGAGAATAGGACCCAAAGTACAAGTGGGTGCTGGCCTTAGATAAGAGTAGAGACTCTTCAGGCCGGCCTTGTGGCCTAGTGGTTAAGTTTGGCAAGCTCTGCTTCAGCAGCCCGGGTTCAGTTGCCAGGCATGGACCTATACCACTCATTGGTGGTCATGCTATGGTGGCGACCCACATACAAAATAGAGGAAGATTGGCACAGGTGTTAGGTCAGGGTGAATCTTCCTCAAGTAAAAAGAGGAGGATTGGCAATGGATGTTAGCTCAGGGTGACTCTTCCTCAGCAAAAAAAAAAAAAAACAATGAAAGAGTAGAGACTCTTCATTGGGGTGGTAGGAAGGAAAGTAGAGAAGGTGTGTGCAGATCAAGGCAGCAGATGGATTAAGTGATGGAAAGATGAGGGAGTTCCTGACTGACAGTGTCTGTTTTCTCAATGAAATATAGAAACAAATATGAAAAAAGTCATCTGCTGGGCAGAGGAGATGTAAGAGGTTTGAGGAAAGGTAACTTTGAAGAACAATCTAGGGAAACGTATAGGGTGGTTGACAGCCACCGTTGGTTTTCTGATTCATCTTAGCTCCCAAGAAGATGATATAAAATACTTAGATGACCCAAGAAAAGACACTTTCTCTGACTTAACCACACGGCCCTTTGACTAGAAAAGGCTACCATGTGAAATTCTGAGGTCCACAACCAGGAATATGACAAATAGAAGATGAAGAGCTTTCAACTGAAAACCTCAACCTTTAAAGGATTTCAAAGTTAAAACTAAGATGAAGTGAATGGAACTGGGATTATTCTTGAAAGAATAGGATAACTAAAAGAAGATTCATTGATCGCATTTAAACTCATAAAGGTACCCTAAAGACCAGGTGGTTATATTCTGTCACCACGGCAGATACGTCAGAGCCTCAGCTTAGATCACATAAATTATGCAGAAAGGTCCAGAGATACTATAGCAAGGACTGAGTTATCTTTGAGAAATACCTCAAGACCTAACCTATATGTTTCATTAGTTCAGTTACATTTATTATATGGTTATTATGTGCCTGGTACTATTCTCAATGCTAGAGAGAAAAAGACACACAAGATCCCACTCTCATAGTGCTCTAATGTTGGGAAGTGAGACAGACGACAAATAAGTAAACAAATAATTTCTGTTAGTGTTAAGTGCTACATATGAAGAAAAGAAAACAGCATAATGAGAAGGAAAGTAACTTGGGGCCAGATTGGGTCATTAGGGAAGACCTTTCTGAGGAGGTGATGTTTGAGGTGAGCTATTTGGAATGCCTTGACAAGGTTGTTCCAAATGGTGTTTTACTAATAGGGTTTCAGAAGTAGCAAGCATTCAGAAAGAGCACACACAGTATTTCGATAGTAACATTCTCTATGGTTATGGGCGGTTCCTGAGGGAAGGCTTTAGTCATATACAAGACAACTACTCGATAAGTTGAAAATTTACATTACTTCAATA